GCCCACCAACCTCTCGGAGGGAGAAAGATGAGGCATTCTGTTCCAGTAAAAATTTACAGTCTCTGAAACCCTAAGGAGCAATTCTACTCTGCATTATAGAGGTCATATTGATGACAGTGGGTAGTACCCCTTCTCTGCTCCAACCAGTGGATGACTAAGCCCGGCCTAAGCCCTGTTGCCTCTTAAACATCTCTGGAACGCATCCACTCACTCCACTCCTTTGTCGCTCCCCTAACTCAGGCCACACTCATCTCCTACCTGGAATGCTGCAACAGAGCCTCCCACTTCCAGTCTCCCTCTCTGCTAGCCTTTCTTCACCTGGAAGCCAGAGCAATCTTCCAGAAACACAAGTCCAACTAGTTAGCTCCTGCTTAAAAATCTGGTATGACTCTCTACTACCCTAAGAATGGGTCCAGTCAAATCCTCCATAACCTCACTCCCACCTACCTGGCTGTTTAACACCTATTTGCCTTTTAAGGCTTTAGTCAACACCCCTTCTGCCAGGAAAAATTTCCCCATTACCTTATCAAAGACTTCATTTGACTTGGATCCACCATCAATACTCAAGGAAGCAGCAAGAAATCAAACTAAATATTGCATTAGGCAAATCTGCTGCACAAGACTTCTAATGGGATAAGTAGCACTGCACTGCTAACCATAAGATCAAGAGCAAAGATGTCAGTTTGAGGACTAAGGTGCTGTGGTATTTTCAGTAGCCTCACATGCATGTGAAAGTTGGATAGTGAATAAGGAAGACCATAGAAGAATTGATTATTTGAGTTATGGTGCTGGAGAAGAATATTAAAAGTACCATGGACTACCAGAAGAACAAACAAATCTGTGTTGGGAAAAGTACAGCCAGAATGCTCCTTAGAAGTCAGGGTGACAAGACTTCATCTCTCATACATACTATAAGGAGAGACCAGTCTCTGGAGAAGGCCAGAGGGTCAGTGAAAAACAGGAAGACCCCAATGAGATGGATTGGCTCAGTGGCAGCAGCAGTGGACTCGTAACGACTGTAAGGATCACGCAGTACCGCACAATGTTTTGTTTTTCGTTCTTAAGGTTGCTGAGTCTAAACCAACTCAATGACACTTAATGACATATCAGTTGTGGTCCACACACTTACTGGTTCAGCAGCCTTGGGGTCTTCGTGATCTGGATGGCAGCTAGAGCTCCAACCATCACATATGTGTTCTCAGGCAGGGGGCTGGTGTGGAGGAAGATGGAGAAGAGGGCAAAGGACCTGTGCCAGCTCTCACTTAAGGAAATATCTTGGATATCACATGACACTTCCATATTCATCCCATTGGTTATAACTTAGTCTAACTTGTAGCTTAGCTACAAGTCTAGGCAGTGCCGCTTCCATTCTAGGCAGCCACACACCAGGTCAGGAACCAGGGGTTGTATAGGGAGAATAGCTACCTGGGACAGCTAGCTGACTCCACTCTTGAGGGCAGAGTACTACCATGTGTTAGAGTCTGTGCTGGGCACTTGGCTCACCCCAAACCCAGTAGAGACTATTATTAGCCCTGACTCACAGAGGAGGCTTGGAGAGTTAAACAACTTGCCCAAGGACACACAACCAGTTATAATTCAAACTGGTCTTTCCCCTCCACATCAGGCTAGCTGGAAAATCAGGAGAGGGTGAGTCCTAGGAGCTGCAGGAAGGAAATCGTTCCACAGAGAGGGCTTGGGCAACAGTGTCAGGTGCTGAGAGACCCAGCCAGATAAGGTCAGGTGCAGTTGGAAAAGAGGGGAGGGGAATGGGAGCCATCGCAGAAGGTGAGGGCCCTGATGTAAACATAGACTGGTCTTTCTGGAAGGGCTGCAATGAAGGGGGAGCAGACAGAACTGCAGGGGGACACAGGAGAGGAGACAAAAAAGGAAGGAAATACAAGGGGAAGAGAAGAAGAGGACAGAGAAGGGTGTCTGGGCTGAACACAGGGGTGGGATATGGATGGGAAGGGATAGGAGGTGTAAGCGCAGGTACGTTTGGAGAAGAAAGGGAGGCAGGAGAGGGTGTTGTCTGTCTTGTAAAATCTGAGACATTTTCTTGGCTGAGGCAGACAGCCAAAGGCCCGAGGAAGAAGGGAGTAGCTTCCCTATCATATAGGACAGCCACAAGAAGACGGTGATTATTTCAATTAATTAAAAGTGGACAACAATTTAATAACTCAGTTCCTCAGTTACACTAGCCACATTCATGTGGTTAAACCAAAATCCAAACCCGTTGCCATTGAGTTGATTCTAACTCAGGATGACCCCATGTGTTAGAGTGGAACTGCCCCCCTATGGTTTTTGGTTGTTTTTCCTGTAATCTTGAGGGAAGGGTCCTGGTGTGGTAATGTAGAAGAAGCATTGGACTGCTAACTGCAAGTTCAGCAGTTCAAACACACCAGCCGCTCCTCATAAACTCTATACAGGGTCGCTATGAGTGAGAACCAATTCCATGGCACATAACAACAACAAATGCTAGGGAAGCACATCACCAGACTTTTCTTCCACGGTGCCACTAAATGGGTTCAAACCACCAACCTTTCGGTTGCAGTCAAGCAGAACCCCATTGGGTCTTGGGGCCCTCCAGAGACCTTGCACAAGTGGTTGTTGTTGTTAAGTACCATGGAGTCGGTTCCGACTCATAGTGACCCTGCACAGGGTTTCTGAGGCTACAAATCTTTACGGGAGCAGAAAGCCTCATCTTTCTCCTGCGGAACAACCGGTAGTTGCGAACTGCCAATCTTGAGGTTAGCAGCCTGATTCGTAACCACTACGCTACCAGAGCTCCTTTCCCCATGTGATTGTTGTTGTTGTTGTTAAGTGCCATCGAGTCGGTTCCGACCCATAGCGACCCTGTACAGGGTTTCCGAGGGTGTAAATCTTTACGGGAGTAGAAAGCCTCATCTTTCTCCCGTGGAGCGGCTGGTAGTTTCGAACAGCTGACCTTAAGGTTCGCAGCCCGATTCGTAACCACTACGCTACCAGAGCTCCTTCCCCATGTGATTAGTGGGTACTATATTGAACAGCACAGATAAAGGATGTTTCTTTCACTGTAGAAAGTTCTGCTTGAAAGCTCTGGTCTAGACAGAGCATGTGATGGGGCTGGAGATGCTTCAGCCTACAAGTCCTGTCCACTGCTGAGTCCCTGGAGAAATCTTCCACGTTGTCTCCAGTTAAACCCTCCTTCCCTCTTTAGGATTCCATCAAAAATCCCTCCTGGGACTAGAGTGGAGAGTGAAGTGTCCAGCTGATATGAAGTGAGGGGAGATGCAGAAGAACGCCCATACGTGCAGATAGTACCCATTTGACCTAGCTTCAATGGCTGGATGATCCGAACTTGACTAGAGGAAGATAGAAGAGGGAAAAAAAGTGTAATCCACTACAATTTGATGAACTTGACCTGTACTTATGGATGTAGTAGCTTAAAAGAGGGAATGAATCTTCACAGCGAGGATCATTCCCACCCCCTCTGTACACAGGGTTGACAGGGATGGGCAACTTAGACATTGGCTACCTAAAATGGGAGGGCTATAAAGGGATTAAGTGACTGGCTTACAAGGTTTCAAGAGGGAGCTTAAAAAAAAAAAAAGCCCTCCTGGGAGCCCCCTTTTTACCTCTGCCTTTGTGAGGTCAATCTTGGAGTTCTCTACTGCAGGCCTCCAAATACATGAGAGAATTGGGGAAGAGCTCTAATGTTCAGACAGTGGCACATGGACAGAGGCAAGCTGACCCCCAGCACTGACATTGCTGGGCTTAGAGCATAAGAATGAGCTCACAGTTACTCACTGAAAAATCAGAGGGACATCAGAGATTGCTCTGCTCAGTCTCCCATTTCACAGATGGGTACACTGAGGTTTAGAGAGAGCTGAGAAGAAAACACAGAGGTTTCTCATCATTCCTTTTATTGTACTTTCCCCCTCACTGTCCCCAGACCTGTGTTCAGACAGGGTTGGGCAGGCCTGGGGAGCTGGTGCTGGGCCCCAGGCAGAGAGCCCAGGACCTGGCCGAGACTCCCATTCTGACCCGAGGTAGCTGAGTAAGGATTCTTGGCCAGAAGTGATCATCCTGGCCTGACACATGTGGAAAGGAGCACTTCCCCATGAAGATCACACAGCATGGACCATGTGCCTCTTCTTGGGGGTATAGGTGTGTTTGGATGGTTGTGTTTACAGGGGCCAAACTTCTTCAAATACACAATGTAGCAGGAGAGGTGTGTGTATGTAGGTGGGTGTACACATGGAAGTGTGTACCTAAGACACTGTGTGGCTTGTGGGCAAACCACACAGATGATGAGGGTGTCTCAAACTCTGCTCCATGCCCCCACTTTCCAGGTGATATCATCCAGACCTAAGTCTGACACCAGACCAGGGGCTGAGTCAGAAAGTTCTAGGGCAGTGACTCTTAAACTTAGGTTTCAAAGCGGCCTGGGAAGTGAGTTAACCATGAAGATGGTATAGCCCAGCACCCAAGATCTGGAATCTGGAGTTGGCCCAGGCACCTGCTGTGGGACCTAGCTCCTTGGAGAAATCTGATGAGTAACAGAGCTCAAAGCAGAGCTACCTAATAGAATGTTCTGTGCAGTCCAATATGACAACCACTAGAAATCTTTATTTTATTCCATTTTAATTAACTTAAATTTAAATAGTTACCTGTGGCTAGTGGCTGCCACATTGGAGAGCATAGATGTAGACATGGAGGAAGGTGGATGGATATTGGAGGCCCAGAGAGAAGTGCAAAGCTAAGTGTACCTGCCCAGCCCCAGCCCTTCTGACTAGGTATGACTGAGGCCAGAGTGGGGCTGCCCTGAAGGTGTGCAGAGTTGAGACCAGAGCGCAGAATTATACAGATCTCTTCCCAAGTCCACCCCGAACTGCAGCCAGGTGTCTGACTGGCTGAGAGGACAACAAAGCTCCTAGAGAGACTCTCCACCCAGCGGAACACCACTAGAGCCCTGTCCTGAAGCCTTGTGCTACGTCCAGTCAGGAGTCAGGGGCTGCGGGTCAGGACGTCTTCGTGTTCTCCTGAAGATTCAGGATGGAGTTAGTGGCTGCAAGGTCACGTTCGCCCTGTGTGTGTGGAGGGGTGAAAGTTGGCTCTGGGGCAGACACATGGACCTGAAGCCTTGGAAGGTCTGCCTCAGGGAGTCCTCTTACCTCCCCTGGCCCCATGTCCTCTGCATACTTGAACTTCTTCTGCTTGTAGTAATGCCTCTTGGGCAGGATGTGGAGCAGCAGCAGGTCACAGAGAACTGTTGCCTGGAGGTGACAGGTGCAGGACAAAGCAAGGGAATCTGGGGGTGGGGGATGGGTACAGAACCTTCTATATCCCACCTCAGGCCCTATGGTGCTGTCCTGACAGAACCCTGCCCTACTCTAGACCTCAGGAAGGGGCTGGATAAGGGTGAGGCACTGCATGATCCTCAGGGATCCAAGAAGTCCACCCCACTTCAGGCCTACCCAGCTCTGAGCCTTCAGATACATGGAGGTAAGTCAAAAAGTACTGTTATAAAATCATAGAGGCCTTCCCAAAATACCAAAATGTGATGGTTTTGTTTCTCAACACAAACTCCATCTAGGCCTATACATTTCTGAGGGCAGTGTTTCCTTCTCTAACACCTCCCTGAAGAATTCTGTGCTCCCCAATTTACAACACATCAGAATGGTAGTTTTGACATTCTCAAAGGGCATAAATCATGTTCTTTTTAAATATTCTTTGAGTTTTAGGAACAAAAGGCAGTCTGACGGGGCAAAATGAGGGCTGTAGAGTGGATGGGGTAAAGGTACTCAACAAAATTCTAGGACATCCTTTGCCACCCTCAAGTTCATTGTCGTGATGGGAAAATTCCTTTGCACAACTTTGTCTCACCAATGCAATTTTATTTTTTCTTAAAAATTCTTCATAATCAATCCCCATATTTTCCTGTATCCTTCAAGTAAATAAAAATGATCCCTTTGGGAAATGCAGATAGGTCTCTTGTGATGCAAGGGTGAATAATTGCTGCCAGGACTGATTGTGAAGGTTGTAAATGTAAAAGTGGGCATTTTGTGGCAAGGAGGGGAATGATTGGCTTTGCAGGCAGGGAGCGGAGATTCCTGGAACCATGGAGGGAGAAGAGCAGAGAGCAGAACTCTACTCAGAGAGGCAGCAATCCCAGAGACAGAGGCAGAGATGAAGGTGTAGAGAGATGGAGCAGCTGGGGACTCAGGACCCAGGGAGGAAGAAGGGCTGTGTGCTGATGATGGGGTGGGGTGGGGAGTGGGGGGTTGGAGGGGAGGAAAGCAGGCTTACAGGATGCACCCTTTCGTTGATTGGTGATGCGTGGAGGGGATTGTAATCATGGCAATGAAACAATATACGATAAGATGAATGTAAAACTAATGTTCTCCCATGTAAACTGTCACATAATTCACAATAAAACTTAAAAAAAAAAAAAAGATCCCTTTGGAATTCAAAAAAAATTGTCACCAGAACCTTCTGAGTAGAACTTTCTGCCTTGAACTTCATTGGCCCAGCTGATCCCCTCGAAAGCCACAGTTTAGACTGGAACTTGATCTCTAGATTGAATTGGTACTCTGGATCCCCGGTATCATGCATTCCACAAAACTGTCATCATCAGCTTTGATCTTTCTGAGAGGATGGTGGAAAGGGCTAGCCAGTCTTTGTGCAACTTTTGGTACCCATCAAGCTAAAACTTGCTGAGACCAAGATTGTTGTTATTGTTAAGTGCCGTTGAGTCAGTTCTGACTCAGAGAGACTTTGTATAGGGGTCCAGAGGAGTGGTTGGTGAGCTTAGACTGTTGACCTTACGGTTCAAACCAACCTTGTGGTCCAGTGCTTATCCTATAGTGCCAGATATTCCCTTAAAATTGAAATACTGAACCATGTGAGATCTCAACTTCAGTAGCTACCACATCAATGGTGATTCCATGGTTTTCTTCCATCTGTTTCTAGACTTGAGTTATAATTTCTTCATTCATTGAGGTTGATGGTCTTCTCTCTCTTAGCTCTTCTTAAAGGTCTTCCTGGCATTCCTTAAAGCACTTGATCCATCTAAAAATGGTTGTTTTATGTGGTGCAGCATTCCCATAAACTTCTTGCAAAGCTTCAATGATTTGGAAAGATGTCCACTTGAGTTTTGTTTAAAATTTTGTATTAGCCTTGACCTCAAAATTGTCCTTTACCCTCCCTGCCACCCCAGGCACAGAAAGTCTCCTTTTTCTAAAGGCACCCTAAGGAGACTTAGTCTACAGTCTGTGAAATACTGAGAGAACTTGTCTGCAGCCATCCACTGGTCAGAGACGTATGAAGCATGTTTTTTTGAAATAGCCCTGTACATGCATGAACTGGAACCTAGCACCAATACTTTCATCTTACCCATGTTCTGTGGGCCTAGGATGATGGAGCGGGCAGCTGTTGGCTCAGTAATGATCATCAATTATGGACCATTGTAGAGCAAGAAACTTACTACGACTGGGAATTGCAAAGAGAGGGGCTCACCCCATCACAATGACCCCATGATCCCAACACTTACCACCCCAAAGATGCCAATGCCGGAGCCGATGGTGGTCATTGTGGGGATGATGTCAAACTTCCCAGCCTGGTGGCAGAGACCAGGGGAGAAAGGGTTAACAACCAGAAGGGGCCTGACTGGAGAAAGCCTCTTCCAGACTTTGTAAGGCCAAGCCTGAGACACCCTGACTGTCATTACAACTTAGGGTTCAGGCAGTGGATGGGGACCCAGCTTCTGGCCAGGAGACAATGAGGCAGGAATGATCAGCAGCTGGAAAGTCCTGCCCTTGAATGACCCACATCCCATATTATTAGAAGTAAGAAGTGCTGAATGAGTCCCCAGCTAACCCCAGGTTGTCATCACCACAGACACCCACAGGGCACATGCAGGAGCTGAGAATGGGTCTCTGGCTATTCCCTGCACACTGGACACTCACCTTACCGTCCACCAGAATGTCGAAGCGAATCCCAAACACCTTGAAGAGGTGGCGGTGGTTGGTCCCGTTCTCCACGAAGTGCCTGGCAAATCTAGGAGAAAGGATGAACTGCAGCAGAGGGTAATGGAACTATCTTGGGTCTGTTGTTCTCAGAGGGCTGTAGGGAGTCCTTAGAGGATCACCCCACACCCCTGCATTATACAGAGGGGGTAACCCATGGAGGGTTGGGGCTAGCCCCTAGTCACAAAAGGGAGGCACAGGGAGAACCTTAAGCCTCATACCAACAATTCCAGGAAGCTGCACTCAACCCTTGTCCTAACTCCTGACATCAGGAATTTCCCAGACAGTCCTGGTCAGGTGGGTCTTTTGGGGACTGTGGCCCATGGACAGGAGGAGACCAGCTAGAAGGTCTTGTTCCCTGCTGACCCCCTGCTTAGCCAATCCCAGACTAGAAGGAAGATGTTCAAACTCTTCTTCTTCCCTCCCAGGGATAATTGCTTTGCCCCAAGGGATTCTGAAGGTTAAAAAAAAAAAAACCAAGGGAGACCTGGCCCACACCTGAAGTTGAAACCTCGAGACAGATTTTTCTCCTCATACAGCCCATGGAACTCGTAGATGGGCTTGCAGTGCCGCACATGCCAATCCAGGTCACAGTCCCAGTCGATGGTGATGCCGACCACCCCGCCCTGCCAGGGACATAGGTGTTTCAGGATCATGATATTCCTGTCCCTCAGCTGGTACCAACATCTCTTAAAGAGGGAAAATACACTGAGAAGCTGCTTCAGGCTAGAAGCCTCTCTCTCTCGCCTCACCTCCCACACTCCTCACCCTCCACACTCCAGCTTTCTGGCAGTTTCTGGAAGACACCAGCCTCAGGGCCTTTGCACATGTGTCCTCCACAGTTCTCCACAAGGCTGGCTCCTTCACAGCCTTTCCCTGACTACCACTCCCAGTTTAAATGTGTCCCTGCTATTAGTTTGGGAGGAGCCCTGGTGGTTAATGGCTGGGTCCATCAGCTGCTCCACGGAAGAAAGATGAAACTGTTGGCTGCCGTAAAGATTATTGTTGTTGTTGTTATGTGCCGTGGAGTCGGTTCTGACTCATAGCGACCCTGTACAGCGTTTCCGAGGCTGTAAATCTTTTTACGGAAGCAGAAAGTCTCATTTTTCTCCTGCAGAACAGCTGGTAGTTTCGAACTGCTGTCCCTGAGGTTCGCCGCCCGATTCGTAACCACTACACTACCAGAGTGCCTTGCCATAAAGATGGCGAGCTGGAAAACGTATGGGGCAATTCTCTCACCTCTAGGCTTGCTATGGGTCAGAATTGACTCGAGGGCAAGGGTTTGGTTTAGTTTATTAGCTTGCGTTATATTCTGTTTTCTTGCAAAACATTTGGTACTTTGTAATCATATATTAAGGAGCTCTGAAGGGTGACTAAAGGTCACAGTCCTGGAGGTCCCACTAGTCTCTGTCTGACCACTAAACGTGATCTTTATATATATATTTATATATATATAATTTTGTGTTTTGTTCCACATTTTCCTCCCACTCTATCCAGGACCCTCTAATGTGATCCCTTTCAGAGCAGTGAGTAATGGTAACTGGGTGCCATGGAGACTGATGTTGCCATGGTCCATTAGTCCACAGGATGAATTGTTTTCATGCATCACTGGCTTTCTTCACTCATCTTTCCTTTGAATGGGGTGAGACCAGAAGTTGCACCTTAGATGGTCGCTCATTAGTTTTTTAAGATCTCAGTCACTACTCACCAAAGTAAAATGTCTTTGTAGGCTGTGTTATGCCAGTTGACCTTGGTGTCCCCCCAAACCAGGGTCCTGAATCTCCAGGCCCAGTGACTTATTCCCTAAAGGTGTCTGATTATGTCAAATAAGTTTTCATAGCTTTGCCCACCACATTCATACATGCGTTTGTAGCATACGTAAATATACACGTAGTAATATCCTCTATCCTAGGAGTCCTGGTGTTGCACTGTTGGTTAATGCGCCAGACTGCAAAGTCGTTTGAACGTTAAGGTCTGTGGGTCAAGCTCACCAGTTACTCCCTGGAAACCCTGTACAGGGTAGCTATGGGTCGGAACCAACTCGACGATACTTAACAACAACAATATCGTCTATCAAACCTATACGTATTTATGAGTGTAATCCTAATCTCCCTCCCACACCCATTCAGCCTGCATATCTATCCATGCATTTATTTGCAGACCACCATTACAAAACTGTGGATAACAGTATTTATTTCTGCTGCCTTTTAACTCTTTCACTCCTAGTGTCTTTCTCTGCCTCCATCATTTTTTGCCAATCTCCCTCTTGTATATTGCCTTCCTCTTCATGTGTCTACCCTGTAGCCAGTAATTTACACTTCTTTACTCCCTGTGTCTACCCTGTAGCCAGTAATTTACACTTCTTTACTCCCTGCCACCCTATAACCATCAAAGACTGTTTCTTATAGTTTGAAAACCTTTTCTTGACTTTTGACAATAGTGGTCTCATACAATATTTGCCTTTTTGTGATTGACTGATTTCATTCAGCATAATGTCCTCTTGGTTCATCCATGTGATGAAGTCTTTTGCATATTTATTGTTATTATTTAACACTGCATAGTATTCTATTGTGTGTATGTACTAAAAGTTTGTTTATCCATTCTTCCACTGATGGGCATTTAGGTTGTCACCATCTGTTTGCTACTGTGAATAGTGCTGTGATGAATATGGGTATGCATATGTCTATTCGTGTAGGCTCTTATTTCTCTATGATATATCCCAAGTACAGGGATTGCTGAGTCATGGTATTTCTACTTCCAACTTTTTAAGGAAGCCGTATACCATTTCCTGCAGTGGTTTCACCATTTTACAGCCCAATCACCAGCAGTGTTATGATATGAGGGTTCCAGTCTTCCACATCCTCACCAGTATTTGTTGTTTTCTGGGTTTTTTTCAACTTTGCTATTAATGCTGGGATGAGATGATGGATCATTGTTGTTTTGATTTGCATCTCTCTAGTGGGATAATTTGTTGTTGTTGTTAAGTGCCATCAAGTGGGATCCGGCTCATAGCAACCCTGTACAGGGTTTCCAAGGAGTGGCTAGTGAGTTTGAATCACTGACCTTGTGGTTCAAAACAACCTTGCAGCCCAGTGCTTTATCCCACAGTGCCACAAGAGAGATACAAATCAAAACAACAATGATCTATCTAATGGGCTAATGGAATCCTGGTGTGGTGATATGGGATAATACGCTGGATTGCAAGGTCAATTTGAACTGTAAGGTCAGCAGTTCAAATTTACCAGTAGCTCCTTGGAAACCCTATACAGAGTTGCTATGAGTCAGAACTGACTCAAAGGCACTTAACAACAACAACCACAATGGGCTAATGATGGAGAACATTTCTTTATATGTTAGCCACTTAAATGTCTTCTTTGGTGAAATATCTGTTCATGTCATCTGCCCATTTTTTAATGAATTACTTGTCTGTTTCTTGTTGAAGTATTCTGTAAATTTTGGAGATAGTCCCTTGTCTGATATGTCATTGCCAAAAAATTCTCCCAGTACGTGAGTTCTCTTTTTATTCTTTTAGTGATATATGTTTTGTCACACATAAATGTCTAATTTTTAGGAGATTCCAGTTATCTGGTTTATCTACTGCTGTTTGGGTGCTTTCAGATATGTTTGACAGAATATTTATGCCATGTATTAGGACCCCTAAGTTTGTCCCTATTTTTTTTAATTGATGATCATTGTAGTTACAGGTTTTACATTGGGTCTTTAACCCATCTTGAGTTCATTTTTGTATATGGTGTGAGATATGAGTCCTGTTTCATTTTTCTGCAAATGGATTTCCAGTTTTGCCAGTACCGTTTGTTTAAGAGACAATCTTTTCCCCATTTAACTATGTTTCAACCATTTGTCAAAGATCAGCTGCCCATAGGTAGATGGGTTTACTTCTGGGGTCTCAGTTCTGTTCCACTGGTCTATGTGTCTTGTTTTACCAGTACCGGATGGTTTTGGCTACTGTGGCTGTGGAGTAGGTTTTGAGATGGAAAAGTGTGAGATCTCCTCCTTTAGTCTTCTTTAGTAGGGTCTCTGTCCTTCCCATATCAAGTTAGTGACTAATTTTCCCATTTCTGTAAAGAATGATGATGGAATCTGAATATGGATTGTGATGTATCTGTAGACTGGTTTGGGTAGTATTAACATTTTCACAATGTTAAGTCTCCCTATCCATTAGCATAGTCTGTTCTTCTATTTATGTGGGTCTCTTAAGTTTTCCATAGGATTTTCAATGGTTTCTTTTTCAGAAGCCCACCCAAGTACAGATGCAGAAATTTAGACATTGCCAGTCAGGGTAGAGCAGGATTTGTACCCAGACAGACAGATCTGTGACCTTCATGATGCTGTTGTTGTTGTTGGATACCATCAATACAATTATGACTCATCATAACCCTAATGACAGAGCAGAACTGCCCTGATTTTTTGGCTGCAATCTTTATGAAAGTACATCGCCAGGTCTCTCTCTCATGGAGCTGCTGGGTGAGTTAGAACCACCAACCTTTTGGTTATCCATCTAGCACTGAACTATCTGTACTATCAAGGCTCCTTATAAGTTACTACTTTTCTGGAAAACCTAAGTGACTAAGGATCTCAGCTTCCTGAATTCCTAGGAATCCTCAGGAATGAGAGACTGAATTTACGAAGAGACAGCGGCCAGACTATATGAGTATATGACAATGGACACTAACCACCTCTGCAGCAAATAGTCCAGGAAACTAGAGGCTTATATCTGCAGCAATCAGACCCAAATGATAGGACTTGCTCAATAACAGCCAACTTCTAGAAGTTTTTATAACTTTTGCCTTTCCCCCATGCTTCTAACTTAGACCCAACTAAAGAAAGCTAAATACGGAGTGGTTTTCTAACCAATCACATTAAAGATGTCAACTTCTATTTCATCACCTCCAGCTTCCCCACCCAGCAACTTCTAAACAAAGCATACCTGAACCAAACCAAAGCAAACCAACCTGTTGCTATCAACTGGATTCTGATTCATAGTGTCCCTGCAGTACATAGTAGAACTGCCCACAAGATTCCCAAGGACATAATCTTTATGACCATCACTCTTCTGTCAGTTTGTCATATTGTACTGGCTTACGTGTTGCTGTGATGCTGGAAGCTATGCCACTGGTATTTCAAATACCAACTGGCTCACCAATGGTGGGCAAGTTTCAACAGAGCTTCCAGACTAAGACAGACTGGGAAGAAGGAGAGGTGGACTACTTCTGAATGAATGGTTAACCACTTATGAATAGCAACAGAATACTGTCAGATGTAGTGCTGGAAGATAAGCCCCTCTGGCTAGAAGGCATTAAAAATATAACTGGGGAGAGAACAAACAAGATGGCAGATCGGGTGGAAGTGCAGTTAAGAGTTC